TTACTTCTCATGTAGGGTCTCCAAAATTCTCATAATGTTGGTCTGTTGGCAAATTGTGTCTAGGAAATATTTTGTCTCTTCTTCATCGTAAAGCATATCTTTATCTTGTCTGAAATTTTTCTCTGTTTTTTTTTTTCTCTTTGCTTACAAGATTGTTTCCTGGCCTGTAAGTTTTAACTTGCTAAATCTTTTCTTTTTATTTTTATTTTGAAGTGTTGAATTTTATGCAACAATTTTGTAGAGTCTGGAATTTCTCCCAAAATCCTATCCCCAGATTAATATTTCCAGTGCTGGTGCAATAGTACAGTCCTTCATAAGGAGTCATGATTCCATCCGTCTGTTATTTACATGTACCCAGACATTGCTGGTAGAGACAGTTTCAGACAGTCCAGCATCTTATTGTCTAGACATTTCCAACAGTTTCGTTGAGAGTCCATCTTTGGTTTGGAAGCAAGGACACATGTTGCATTGTATCCCCACATCTAAATATGGTAGTCTCTATTATAGCATGATGATTCGTTCCCTTAAGTGAGAAGCCAATGCAGTAAGGTCAACAACCAGCATGACTAAGAGCAACAATAACAAAAACAAAATTGCAGCACCATGTAGTTGAAAAAATACACCAGTGAATAACCAATGCATGGGTGACAAAAACACAAAAGCCTCTTTGGTAAATGGATTTGACAAGAGAAAAGAAAGTATTTGGAAGAAAAAATAAATCTTATAAATCTAATTTTGTTTCCCTTATAGTAACTTGGCATATTTTCCTTACAATTTTATGATTTTCTACATTTCATCATTTGCTTAAAATTTAATGATAGCAAGTCTTGGAGAATTAGTTTTGCTCTTTACTGAGGTTGGGTTCTTTGAAAATTTATATGTATATGTATAAACACATACATATGTTTGCTTATATATGTTCCAAATTTGTGAAGTTTTTAGTTATTATTTCAGTCTTCTCTTTTATGTTTTATGTTTCCTTATAATTTTTTAATGGTTTTCTACATGTCAGAGATTCTTTCTTCACTATTTATTAGTCTTTATGTTTTGCTGAGTTGCTTCAAAATTCTTTTGTTTGTATTAGAAATTCTGCTGTGTGTATGTTAGATTTTTATTTATTTATTTGAAAGACAGGGTTACAAAGAGGTGGGAGAGATTTTCCATCTATCCTTTTACTCTCCAAATGGCCTCAGTGGCTGTGACTGGACCAGCCAGAAGCAAGGTGCCAGTGGGGTCTTCCAGGCCCCAAATGTTGGTATAAGGGCCTACATGCTGGGGCCACTCTCTGCTTCGTGAGGTACATCAGCAAGGAGCTGTGTTGGAAACATAGCAGCTGGGATTTAGGTTGGCATATTTGTAGGGTGCAGGCACTGCAGAGAATGGCTTAAGTAGCTCTGTCATTGCACTGGTCTCCAAATTAGATTTATTTAGCCCTCGCCTTGACTTTTTTCTGTGCTAGTATCCCCCAGTTGAATTTTTATCACACTGAAGTTTCCCAGTCTAAAATGTGTTCCTTTTACTGACTTTTTAATCTCTTTATTGTATGAATCAGTCATATCACCTGTCGTTTCCCTCACTCCTTTCTCCCTTGCTGTCTGTGTTTTGTTGCATCTTATTTCCTGCAGGAATACTATTTGACTTCTTTTACAGAAATTACATGGGTTTCCTACAGATAAAAGTATGTTTTTTGGAGAAGTACTGAGTTTTCTTAGAAATGACATACTATCATGTTCTTTTCATATTTCCCGTGTTCTTGCACTTGCAGTTGCACACCTGGCGTAATAGTTTTTCTTATGCAATAGGTTTTCTAATTTGACTTGTGTTGTTGTTTTGGCTTTGGTTATGTTTGAGTATAGGATTGTAACTTCTAAAGGATTTCTTCAGTGCTGAACAGTGTCAGCAACTTGTCTAGTCTGTTACAGTTTGTGGAGATGGTCACAGTACTGAAATAGGCATAGGCTTCCAAAGGTGTGTTTCTTAGTCCCTCAAGTGCTGGATGTCAAGAACATTAGATTTTTTTCTTTTACAAAATTTCCAGGTTTCTCATGTTTTCGGCACAAGGGCCTTTTCCCTTTTCGTGAGGCAAGAGTGACACGTGGCCTGTGCATGAGTCGCTGTGGCCCTCAGAGTGCGTGATGTGGATGGGACCCCCTCCTGAATGATGCTGCGGTTTTAGCTCCAATGACACGATACTCAACCCTGGTTAGTGTTAAACGGACATTGTCCAAGCCGTACATTGTGAATTCAAGGTACACTAAGAACTCCTCATTTTTAATTGCTAGCCTTAGTAGCCTACATATAAGCAGGCGCTTCCCTCAATACCACAGTTTGTCCCAATGACTCTGAGGAATGAAACCAGATGTCACAGCCCTGGAGCACTGGGGTACAGTGTGCTCTTTCCCTAGATCTCCCAGGTGAGTGCCAGTTTTGTTCAGTCATTGTGAACTGAGAGCAGCCAATTTCAAATGGAGAAATAGTGCCAAGGTCCTCTAGTTCCTGCAGGCAAGTGCAAGCATCTTTAGAACTTATAGCAGTAGCAGCCAGGCATCTCTTAAGCAAAATGTTATGCCCAGTGATATAAGCCTGTCCCCAAAACACAAATATCATATATCCTCTATGACAAAAGGCAACCTTCATGCATAATGCAAAGCAAGCAAATAGGTAAATGGGTAGATATGTATAATCAACTAGATAAACCAAATAATGGAGACTAGCATGTTTGAAATAAGGATGTGTTGCAGTGTGCATCTCCAAGCCTAAATAAAAGATGGACTTTAGTGAATCAGTTCAATATATCTTGATAGCATAATGTTGAATTGTCTTTGTTCTTTTTTCTAAAATGCATTTATTTCTTTTTTACTTGAATGGCAAATTTATAGAAAGATTCAGAAATGGTTTAAAAACATCTTCCATCTGCTGGTTCCTTACCTAAATGGCTTCAATGGCCAAGGCTGAGCCAATCTGAAAGCAGGAGCCAGGAGCCTCTTCTGTGTCTCCCACATGGGGGCAGGGTCACAAGCTCTTGGGCCGTTCTCACTGCTTTTCCACACCAGCAAGCAGAGAGCTGGACTTGAAATGGACCAGTTGGGAGATGAAACAACACCCATGTGGGATGCTGGCCCTTGAAATTAGATTAGCTGCTGGACAACAGTGACTGTCCCAATCATAGATTTTCTAACAGCCTATGTCTACAATGCCATGATATATTCAAATAGCAGAATGTTTACATGTAACTGTTAATAAAGGACTGTCTACCTGAGGGAAACAATGGAAAGGGAACATGAGAAAGGGGAAAGAAGGGGAGAAAACAGTCTGTATACCTACAAAACTGTATCAGTGACAACAGTAACAACATATATTCAATATAGAAAAGCATCACTCACAACATAAATGTGTCAGATGAAGTGACAATGTGAATGAGCTGTGATAGGACAACGTTGATAAGATACACTGGGACATACACCCCTGGAGATGACTGTGCTGTGATAGGACAACGTTGATAAGATACACTGTGACATACACCCCTGGAGATGACTGTGCTGTGATAGGACAACGTTGATAAGATACACTGGGACATACACCCCTGGAGATGAGTGTGCAGGCTATCTGAACTTTGGAAGGAGATAGATCCAAATTTTCAAACATCTCATGATACATTTTATTCATTAATTTATATATTAAAATATTTTATGTTTATTGGAAAATAAGAAAGTCAGATTTACTGAGAGAAGGAGATAGAGAAAAAGCATTCGTCCACTGATTTGCTCCCCGAGTGAATTCATTGTGACTCCAAGTGGCCAGTACAGCTAGCGCTAAGCCAGTCTGAAGCCAGGAGCCAGAAACTCCCTCTTGTCTCCCATGTGGATGCAGAATTCCAAGATTTTGATCATCCTTAGCTGCTTCCCTAAGTCACAAACAGGGAGCTTGATAGAAAGTATCCATGACACAAACTGGCACCTATATAGGGTCCTGCAAGAAGCAAGGTGAGGACTTTAACTACTAGGCTGTCATGCTGGGATCCTCATGTTATACACACACACACACATATGTATATATATATATATATATATATATATATGTATTTTTTTAACAATTTATTTATTTATTGGAAAGTCAGATATACAGACAGAAGGAGAGACAGAGAAGATCTTCCATCTGATGAGTCACTCCTCAAGTGCCAATCTGAAGCTGGGATCCAGGAACTTCTTCCGGGTCTCCCACGCGGGTGCAGGGTCCCAAAGCTTTGGGCCATCCTCAACTGCTTTCCCAGGCCACAAGCAGGTAGCTGGATGGGAAGTGGCGCTGCCGGGATTAGAACCGGCGCCCATATGGGATTCAAGGTGATGGACTTCAGCTGCTAGGCCACGCCGCCGGACCCTTCATGTTATATTTTAATCAACCAATTTTATTGTCATTAAACCAATGAAAATCAGTTCTGATCATTTGGTATTAGAAGATTATAAGTATCAAATTAATTTTGAAGATTAAATAAAAATGTATGTATGAATGCCCGTAAGTAGGTGTTTACTGCAGCTTATTTTTCCTAATACATACCACTGTATTGAAGCAGTGAGTTAATCTTACTCTTACTGTGACAAATAATCATAATTTATCCTGTGTAGGAGGTAGAACTGTAGTTTACAATGACATCATATAGGTTAAAATGAAATGGAGGAGACTAGTTTCATGGTTCTACATTCACAATGCCAATTTTCTTAGTTTTCCACACCATTTGCTGAAAACAGCTAACCTTTCTCCATGGACTGATTTCTCTTCACTTACCAAAATTAGTTGATGGGAAATGTGATTGTTACTTTTTTGGATTTCCTCTGCTTTCTATTGAGCTTCCTGTCTATCTTTGTGCCAGTATCAGGTTGTTTTGTAAACTTCCCCGGAATCAGTCTTGAAGTGTGGTGTCATGTGTCCAGCTTCTTTTTGCTCTTTAAGATTGCATTAGCTATTCAGTTTTCTGTTTTTTCCAGATGAATTCTAGCATTATTTTTTCTTGATCGTAGAAGAATATTATACTTGTTTTGATTGGGATCATACTGAATCTGTAAAGTCATGACCATAATAGCTTTTCTTTTTTTTTTAATTTAAGATGTCTTTATTTTTATTACAAAGTCAGATACACAGAGAAGAGGAGAGACAGAGAGGAAGATCTTCTGTCTAATGATTCATTCTTCAAGTGAGAGCCACGGTTGATGCTGTGCCGATCCAGAGCCAGGAGCCAGGAAATTCCTCCAGGTCTCCCACACGGGTGCAGGATGCCAAAGCATTGGGCAGTCCTCAACTGCTTTCCCAGGCCACAGCAGGTAGCTGGATTTGAAGTGGAGCTGCCGGGATTAGAACTGGCGCCCATGTGGGATCCTGGCGCATTCAAGGTGAGGACTTTAGCCGCTAGGCCACGCTGCCGGGCCCATGACCATAATAGATTTTCCAAGTTTTTGTGACCTCTGCTTCTTTCTTTAATATTCTGCAGTTATCTCCACTCTCCACAAAGCTGTAAGTTATTTTCTTCTCATAGCCACATGGTGGCAAGCTAACTCTTTAAGAGTAACCTTTGTGTATATGATTAGCATCCTAGTTGAGCATGCCCAAGGTAAGCATTTCTTGGTAAATGACTGAAGCGTCAGCATATCCCAGACTCCGCATTGACTACCTTGGTGAAAGTCAATCTAAACAACACAACATTCCTTGCTCACCATGCCCTGTGTTTTCCATACTCTGCTCTTTTAATCCTTCTCTGGCTTCCTCTAGACTGATACTGAGACCTGTCCTACCCTATGACACACCTGCCGAGATTATTCAAGTCCATGTTTAGAGATTCTATTCCCCAGTAATTTTTACCTCTTCATACAAATTTATGTTAAGCATCTGTATTATTCTAGACCATGGTTATAATATTTATGTCATTTATTATATGTCAGGTGTAGGATGTGTTTTTGTAAGATGTCTTCTCAAACATCACTGCATCTTGGCCATGCTGTTATCCTGTCTGGTAACTGATGCTACGAATCAACTTTCCAGCTGAAGAAATTTACCTTTACTGAAGATGAATAGCTTGCTCAAATGACTCATACATACTGATTATACTGCGATTCTAAATCTCTTCCTTTTCTATCCCCTTAGAAGACTTGCTCTTTGAAAATAATTTTGATATTCACTATCAGATTTCCATAATAGGATCTCAGTATTTGCACATCATATAAAAATTCCATTTCTTTGGTGTGTTATGATGAAGTCAAGATTCACTTTTGTACATCTTGTCATAAGGGGTGATATTTTTGTTTTCAGAACAAAAGCTGTCTTACACTTAAACTTGATTTAGGTTGCCGTCTTATCCTGTCCTGCTATGATGCCATTAGTGCTCAGGTGGGAGTTCATTGTTAATTCCAAGAATGTGAAACATCCCACCATTTCCCGTGGAATCAGGAGTTATCCTTGGATTTAGGCAAGGAATACCTCCCCATTATTGGAAAAAGGTAATCAATATGGAAATTACTGATGTGTCCTTTCTGAGAACAACATCCAATGGACAGAAAATCTCTTGCAAATTGTCAGAAAGTTATTGGATTTCTACATTGTGGATTTACTTGTTACCAGGGAAAAGAAGGGACAGGTGAGAAACAAGCTCTAGCATCAACCGGGAAATTCACCTACTGCCCCTCAAGATCAATAGTGCCTGGGGCTCCTCTGTTTGTACAGGAGCAGGTGGGATCATGATTTGGTGTCCTAGAGAACAACCTGTGTCATATTGCATTGCTGCAAACCAGGAGACTGATGGTTTTCTCAACATACTGAGAATGGGCCAGGTGAAAACCCATGCTTCTCAGGGCACTAACACATGAAGAGCTCCTCATAATGACAGAGAAAGTATATTGGCTTATTATGTCTCTGGGGTCTTCTACCAGGTTACCCAATAGGGCTTCCATCATTTCAAACTCCTTGCATTCCCTTTTCTAATCTTCTTCCTAGCCCTCTCTAACAGATATTTAGAACCTATGCATGTGTGGGGAAGATTGGTTTAAGATCTTGTCTTGATAAGGTTTTCTCCTTTAGAGATTCAGGAACCCATGCAAGTATTTAGTTGTGGTGTTTTCAATATTTGTGTGAAGTCCAGGATCAGCTCTCTGTCTCCTTGATAACACAGGGAGAGTTGTTCAGTAGAGCACCCTAAAGCGCCTTGTGTAATCCAATGGAGAAAGCAATTGTGGCACCAGTCAGTCCTTATGCAGATTCCTTAGGATCCCATCATGGCCAGTGGTTGGAGTTTATTTCACCGAGTTGAGATAGTTGTCATTGGTTAGAATGCTCAAGGCAGTAAGCATTTTCTGTGTGTCCATTTGCATATTCCATCTTATTTTTCTCTATTGGATAGATAGTTTCATTTAAGAAAAAGTAAAAATTTCTCCTGATCAGATAATATAGGGCATAGGGCATTTTCCAGGTGCTAATGTACTTATCTAGGTCATTGATACAATTATCTGGACCTTGTTTAAATGTTGATGCGTATTAAAAGGAAGCAGTAACTCCTCTAGTTGGGGCTTAAGAAACAGGCATCATCTGTGACCCTCTTTGCAGAATGCTGGAAGCTTGTTCTGAATAAAGGAATGCTGGGCAGGTTCTCTGAGCCTCTTCTTTATGGTTAACACAAAATATGGTGGGAAAAAATGTACTCTGCCCCTGAAGATGTCTCCAGTTTTATTTAAAGCTTACCTTACTTTTTCTTTTAATTTTACTTCTTTTCATTATTATCATTATATGATACAGTTCTAGATCACTGCCCCAATGCTCCTCTCTCACTGAGTTCCCCTTTATCATTCCTATAGTACAGTTCTTTATACACAGTCATATGTCCATCATTGCAGGCATGCACAGTGGTAAAGAGTACAGCCTCCTATTGTTAGATATAACCATTTCATTGGGAGTCCATCTTTGTCTGAAAGTAGAGGTTCACACTGCATTGTTTCCTCACATCTGGATATGATAGTCTCCATTACAGCTACTATATATCCCCTTGAATGGAAAGTCACAATGCAAAATCAACAACAGGAAGAAAAATAAATATTTACAGTGCCATGAAGTTAAATAACATGCTGCTAGATATGGAAGTCTCCATTACACAGTAACTATAGTTTCCCTTAAATGAAAAGCCACAAAACAAAATAAACAGCAGGAAGAAAAAAAAATCGACAACACCTGAAGTTACATAACATGCTACTGAATGACTAATGTGTCACAAAAGAAATGTAAAAGAAAATCATGAATGAGAGAATCGAGACGACAGAACAGGGTAAGAACACATTTAAACAGATCAAGAATGATTAGCCACTGTGAATCAGAGAGGGCACATTTCAGGAAATAGGTGAGGTCAGAACAAAAGAAAAGGGGTTTCTGGAGACTGACAGACACAGAAAAGAAGTGAAGACAATGGTGTGGTATTGCAGTGACCCTCAGACCTGATGGCCAGCAGATCAAGAACTCCAGCAGTGGCATGTCAGGCACCATTTTGTACAGTGTGGCAAAAGTTTAGGACTGCAGGGGACAACAGAGAACTGTGCATGTGCTGGATGGTTCCCATCTGTGGAAATAGGACATAGGATCAAGTGATGTTGGCGTCCCTTAGTTACTCATCTCATTTTTGATGCCACTAAATTTTATCCTGGGCCAAGCAGACAGAGGAAGAAATTGTGACTCTGATTTTCCAACTCCAGAGGTGGTCCTTGTCTGTTGCCAGGACTTAGTCATATATTCCCCCAGTATTACCAAGTCACTAGTGCTTCTGTTTTGAAAAGCTTTGATGTGGGTGCAGTCAGACTCCAGGAAACCAACTGAAACCTGGATGACCAACAGTCCTTTCTTCCTGTTCTCAGTGCTGTTTAAACCTGAGGTTTACTGACTGTGCATCAGAGCCTGAATCCGGATGTGAAACAGGCAGAACTGCTACTGGGTTTCTTTAGTTAGAAGTACATTATGTCATTCTTGAATTCCTTCACTTGAAAAGAGTCCCTGATGCAAAACAAAAGTAAGTTTACTGTGTGAACATGAAAAATCTCTGTCTCACTGTCTACAAGTGCTGCATGAACAAAGGAGGGAATCTAATTGGCTGTATCAGGGTGTGCATGAGAACACGCTAGAAGTTTAAAATGAAGAACAGGAAAGTTTATCATCTTTGGAAACAGGAGGAAGATTGTCAGCAAATCCCACCATATGTCTCCCTACCTAGATTTTTCTATCTTTATAATATGTGGCTATTATGCTCTTACAATATTATGATGCTATCTTCAATTGTAAAATCTGAAAGAATCTTTGTTTTATCTCAATTATAAACAATGTGATGGCATAATGAACTGCTATATTACAAAAACCATTGAAAATTCAAACTCAGCTTTGACATCATACCTCTGAATGTAATTTCAAAATGAGCTGTATTGTTTTAAAGCCACATTATGATCTCATAAATCACTTTTGTAATGTTATAAAACCCTAAACCAACTACTTTTTTGCAAGAACAAATTGTGAAACCATAATCCACCATGCTGTCACAACAATTCATATGACAAGTACAGCTGTGATGTCATGAATGGTTGTTTTAATGTCACACACCAAATACTGTGCTATATGTTTAGTTGTGATGTCATACAAAGCACATAGAAATCAACAATTTGTCACAATGAAATGTGAATCATAAAATGGCTTTGTGAAATCATCCAAAAAGCAATGTTTCACCTTGAGAATTTTATAAAGCATAATTTGGATATCAAAATCAATTGTGATTTTGTCAAAATAAATTTAAAGCCAAAACCACAATTTTGTAAAATTTAGATATCATTGCATAGTGATTAGCTCTTAAAAATTCTTGGTGATAAGGTAATAGAAATCATGCTAATATTACCCAAAATATTGGCATGCCATTACCAATTATGGTTTCAAAAAGGTATACCATCACAGTCAATTTTTAGATTGTAAATCAGCTTTATGCTTTTGTAAATATTCTAATATCATAGA